TGCTGGATTTGCTGGCTGGAAGTAGAACATGAATATCCATACATGATGTCAAGTATGCTGAGTCAAAGGACAAACCGTGGTTTCTGCCTCTGAAATGGTTTTCAGACTGTCTCTCGCATTAAGCCTATCGGAACTTGCAATCAGAAAATTTCCAGCATACTCTGAACTGTACCTACGTAGCTAACAACGAATTTGCGTATACTAGCCAGATCATGACAAACTGTATCAGTAGAAAAAAACCTGAAAATTTGGATACTTACAATTTCCTGTAACTTCAGCTAATGCGTAGAACTTTAGATTTGGTGGGTTAGTTAACGCATCACACTAGCAAAGATTCTCAGAGCTTGACATTGATAAATCACTAAATCAAACAACTTACCAGAACCAGGGTTGCAATATCAATCATACTAGTGATTCTGATTTGAGATTGATCTTCGCCAAACTGAAGGAGGAATCGTACCTGGTAAGAGCCCCTACGTTGATAAGATAAAACATAATCCGGTTGATCAAACGTAGCGTCCTACACCGTGTATATTGATTATCGTCGCCATTTGTTCGATTGGATATTTACGTACCGCTTCTCCTCAATGTGCGCGCGGAAACGGTTTACATAAAATAATAATGAAAAGGTGATGCTGACATCGGCCGCGATGGAGGAGGCTAGTCCGATTGTAGCGAGATTCTGGTCCGTGATACAACACGTTAGACTCTTCTTCAAAATGGAAAATGGGTGACAAATGCGAACTCACCCCCAGTTTATCTGAACCTTGAATTTTGGATAACTCTTGGGCAAGAGTACTGCGATAGCATTGGCCCTTGGCAGTACAAGGACAAAATATGAAATTGACTTACATTTCGACATATAGAGCTAAACATTTACAAAATCAGACGCAAGTAATTGATGAAGCCGTCGGAAAATTACGCACCCAGATTTGCAGCTATGATAAAGGACCTATCCGTTAATTAGAAGCTTTAATTGTTTATTTCTGAACGAACCCAAATTCGCAACGGCAAGAATCATCTGCCAGCCATTAGACATGCAACTGTCATTCGTCGGCTTGGTGTTATGGGAAACTCACTATAAGTCCAACAAGATACCAATTGTTTCGGCTCACTGTTCAGCGAAAATTAGCAAGTAGGATTCAGTCGCCGAAGAAGTGCCTCACAAACTTTGACCCGGTATGCAAAGAAACTGTGAACCATAATCTGAATACTACTCTACAAAAAAGTTTCTTACGCGTCAAGATGAGTTAGTTCAGTTCAGGGCTGTGGACTTACATTAAGGGGTACATAAATCTATTATGAATTCCCTTAGTTCATCGCCAATTTGATAATGGGATAGTAGGAACTCACATTAAAGCTCCTAGTATTCTGGTCAGTGACGGTTCTATTTTGTCCACAAAGCAATGATAAGCGTACCAAATATTAACTCCAAGTGCCTCTGGATCGCCCCACTCTACAACAACATAGTGGTATACTGCATGAACTGCAAAGCATGCACGAATAAACTCCAGGCACCTGCGAGGTGTTTGTCAATGTTCCGCCGTAAGTATCCTACACGTTTCGATTTCTCCCTTACCATAATACCAGAACCTAGACGATGTTGGGTATTAGTGTCATGGAGAATCTGTGAGATGCACGTACTGATGTTTTGGTGCCCACGCGATCTCTTTTGCTGTATTTAAGCCAATAAATCCATGTTTGCATCGTGGTAATACCCATTAAGCTAATACATGGGATAAGAATACTTACACTACCCGAAAGTAAAGAAACTCACCCGATCGAGGCAATTACTCCAAGGAAAAGAGATCCGTACGAGCCTTCGATGTTAACAAGGGGGGCCATTAGAGAAAAAGGATGTCTTCAAGAGAGCGACGCATACCCAGGTCAGCTTCGTATATTTGTATGAAACCTCTGTAGTTCAAATCTACCATAAGAGTATCTGCCTGTCTTTCGGCTTTGATAGACAGCGCAAAGTGATGGACCGTGTCCTAAATCCGTTGCATATGGAAATTACAGCAACACAGCTGACACTTTACCTATTAGTTGCCTATCAGTCACCTATCAATCTCTTGTCATCTGTATATGACACCTTCATAAATATACGAGATACAGGCCCTCATCATCAAGTTCGTCATGCTGCTTCAAATCTATCTGTCTACTTAACTGATAACTGTTGGGCGAATGACCAATTTCTGTAAACATATTACATATTTGATTAAGAACTACAGAGGAGCTCAAACGTACTGCTATTGAAGTGGTCTTGGACTCTGAGAGAAGTTGAATAGCAATTATCCTTTTTCTTGTGAGCAAAAATGAGGGGCGCGAGAGGGCGCGAGCCGCGAGCAATCACATATTCAGTATGCCATGTCATGTCAACAAAATGACAGCCTCATGCGCCCTTATGCACATGCACCACCAGTGACCACTGAAGGCCGCGGCGAAACAGTTGCAACATTTAGTAAATGCTCAGGTACCCTCAGGTCGGGATTTAAGGTAATAGGGCCACTCCCTCACTGGGCGTCCGCGTGTTGAGCTCAGGTCTTCAGGACCAACTCGAAACACAGATATGGATGATATTTCTATCTGTGTCATCTTGACTCGTTTATCATGATTGTGATCGTGATACCTGCAGGCTGTTACGCTTGTATTCGAGGCATATGACCCCAGAAAAAATTCGAGCAGCGAGCAAATGTCGCGCCGAAAATCCTTGACTTCAGTTCTTTTTGCAAGTGACCTGGTAGGCTTCCGTGATCCGTGACTTACAGAACGTCGGTAAGTGAGATCTCATGATGATCCCTTGGCATCATAGATGAACTACTATCAATCAGGTACTACGTTTTGGCAGGTTTTTGGCAAGCGCTCCAAGATGCTCCTTGCGCGCCTTGGATAGACAGATCTCAAATAATCTGAAGTCTACTCCACGGTATCAAAACCCCCTTCTGCATTTAACAATTACTGGTCACATCCAACGCGAACGACTGAGCATCAACCAGGCTTTGACGTGCTACAGCTCAGGATTGCTCTCTCGTTTTAACCAAAAATAAGTGTCGAGGACTGGAGTTCCAGTCTCTTTTAACAAGCATATCCGCAATCTTACGATTTCGGAGTCTGATACTAACCGAATTGCGTCTTGTACACGAATTGCATCTTGTACACAGTCGAAGATTGTCTGGGTTAGTAAAGAAGAATGAAAAGAACTGGGATCGTACTCAAGCTCTCTGTTGGTTTGGTTTGGTACTTTGCTTCTAGTGTTCACATAAAACCCTGGGGTGCTGGTGCGCTGGTTTCACCACCGGTTGCGTGGGATTTGGTAACTTGTGCGAGTAGGGATAGCACGGGAAGCCGCCCAGGATCTCGCAAGAGCCATCAAGGCCACAGTGCGGTTACGCCTGTATGGAGACCTGGTTTTGCCCTAGCACTCTCCCTCTGTTTGGTTAGGGTGGAATGTGCTCCATTAAGCTGTAGATAGGTAGTTGTAACAGCTAGCCTTGTACTTATGTACCTGGCCTTGCTAACATCCCTACGTCGGGCTCGTAGTCTACCTTCTCTACGGGAGTCGAGCTCGCTGCCTGTGCTGGCGTAGGGACCGGCTAGTTCCCTTGTGGGACCGCTTTCAGCTCAGGCTGAATGGGCGGTGTAATCCATATCCATATCCACTGGCATGATGTTGCCCGACGCTGGCACAATTCACTTAATCAAGTCGACCTCGACTAGTTCTAACAATTCCAATGAGGTGTAGTGGCTAAAACTGCTGCTTTAAGCCCGGAGTTCGATTCTCCACATTGGAAATGTCGCAATTATGGTGAACGCATTTTTTTTTCCGCCCGGGTCACCTCTTCGACGCAAACTGAAAAGTTCGCACCGCTCTGGATATATGAAGGACAACCGACGCAAAATCAAGAATCAATATGTATTTAGCCAGCCCGCCAACCCATCCCAACTTCAGGTTCACGGTACCAATCAAGACTCGACCTATAGCAAATCTACTAAGTATGGTTTGGTGGCTATGTTGTCTTTCTACGATGTGCTCTACTGTCTTTCTACAATGTCCTCTAGGCTTTATGGTATTCACAGTAGCCCGGGGATCGATATCTCGATTCTCAGCATCAATTGAAATTTTGAATGCTTCGGCATCGATTTTTTCTCCCGCATTTCAACACCCGTTCAAGTTGAAGGAAGAAAGTAGACGCGTAGTACTTGACAGTTTCTGAAATGCTGGCTGAGATTCTACCTCTGTTCGTATGGCTGAGACATGGGACTTTCAATTATTTATGGTACAGACGATTTCTTTACTTTGTACACAAGTTTTTGTTGAAAAGGACACAGAAACTGTAGATTCAGGATGTATCTATCGGCGCCCGGGAGAGACATCGCAAAGGGAAGGGGTGGTCGACAAGTGGTCGAAATGTGTACACATCGGAAGTACTGAGAACAAACACAATGGGAGCTTCCAAACCGGATGCCTGCGTTTAGCCGGTGGCCACTCCTGGGATATAAATCCCCCGACTTTAGTTCAAGTTCAATATTCAATGGGTCCTACCAAGTCCGATGTGGTGTAGTGGATATCAGTGCTGTCTTTCTTGATCTAGACAGCCTGGGCGTTCGATTCCTCAATTTGGAAATTTTACCTTCTACAATGAGATGCAGTTTTTTGTTTCCTTTACTGGAGACTTACTTACATTTTAGATATGAGTCCCAATCGACTCCTTTCCTCCTGCATTTTTCGAAAGGAAATATGCATAGGAAACGCCAGCCGTAATTCTGGAACTCTGCACGCTGAACACAGGATACAGGACTTTGGATTCCCTATAGACATAGTACGATCTCTTTACCTTGCACGAAAGTTTTTGTTGGAAAGGGGACGAGAACTGCAGAATTAGATCGGGCCGAGCAATCTCAAAGGGAGGGAATCGGGCATAATGCATGATGTGCGAGGGGTTGGTTTGGAAGGAGAGGGGCCCTTCTCCCTTGATCAACTAGCGCTCTCTGCTAACACTTCCAATGTGGTGTAGTAGCTAACATTGCTATCTTTCATAACGTGTACGTGTGACGACACAGCAGCCCGGGGTTCGATTCCCCGCATTCGAATTCTGCCTCAGCGAATCTGACTTGTGTTTTTGTTTCTTTCCTTAAAACCAAAATCTGGATGCAAGTTGTAACCATCGAATCCATATGTAGTTCATTCGCACTACTAGGACGTCGACGCACGCTGGTCCGGGAAGGGTCATTTTGGATTCCGCCAGTACAAATTTGTACCCAAATTCAGCTCCAGGTGCTTCGCTTCCTCGAGCATAAATGGAACGTGCTCTCAGCCTACGGTGAGTTCATCCGTAGGCACAGACAGGCACAGACCTAGAACTTCATGGAGTTTCGCATCAAGCGCTCAAACAAGCGCGCGAGTTTCGTTACTTCGATCATGATTTCGGACTTTTTCGGTTCTTTCCTTTCTTAATCTTCATCCATTCCAACCTTTTACGTTGCATCAAGTCAGCCAGATTCTCTATCGATACATCTCGCCCTACATCTCAACCATATCCCGCTGCGACGCGCACAATGCCCAGCTTCTTTTTCAAAAAAGACAAAGAGAGCCATAACGCCAACACCCGAATACTGCAGGGACAACGAAGACGTCATCGTCCACGAAAAGCCTTGGCTCAGTACGCCGTGCTTCTTCAAAGCCCAGCCCGACAAACATCCAGACGACGCATCGCGGCGGCTGCCCGCTGGACGAAGGTTGGGCCGATTTACGAGTATGATGAAAGGTAGTAATGACAAGGCTGGTTAGAGAGGTGAGTCAAATGCAAAAGCCGTGTCTCATCGAGAACGAGAACGTGGCTAACTTCTTCTTTCCCTCCACAACCTGCTCACCTTTCTCCAGTACGCCCTCTCAATATCTCTTCCCCCTTCCCATCCCTACGCCAAATGGGAACAACGCTGGCTTCGAAAGGCGGATACCATCCCTCGCTGCGCGCGCACCTCCAAATGTAATCGAAGAAAAGGATCCAGGGGACAATGGAATGTAGGCGGGAGTTTCAGCCCGAGTTAACTGTGCAAGAAGAGGCGAAGATTGAGGATGAGTCGGGGAAGATGCGAGTGATAATTTGGTTTGGTGAACGCCAAACGTTAAACGCTGAGTACTTGAGTATGCAAAGTACATTGTCCTATTCTGATTTGTGCTATTCATCTCATCTGTCATTTCTCCGTCATGTTGTAACAGTATAGGTCCTTACAACTCACCAACACCACTAAGTATGTCGAAACTCTCGGCTGGGCAATTCACCAACCTGCTGCCTCTCGTCCTAAGCTTGTTCTAGGTACCTCTCCGTTCCTAGACCTGTCACAACAGATAAGGTAACGTCTTCGTTCTTTTCCTCTATTCTCCTGAGTCCATCTTGTTCTCAAGCATCGAAAAAACCACTCCCTCGCTCACATCATTCATCAACTTTTTTGAAGTTTAACCCCGATTTGTTCTAGTTGATACCTCCTCTAGAAGCCGAGTCACCAAAGTCATCGAAAGTCATCGGAACCAGATTATCGAGCGAACGGTATTACTATTACGGTCATAACACCGACGTTTTTTCTCTCTCGTATCACTTACGCAACGCTTGACCGACTTCCGCATCAGACGGTACATTTTCAGATGAGATCGTTCCCGAACTCGACACTCCCTCTTTGGAATCTTCTTTCTCGTACATGTTTAACCTGACGCCACGGCGGCTGCCAAAATCGCCGAGCACATACAGAAACAGAAGGGAGGAATCCGAAGAAGCAAATTCAGTCCTGGTTGTTAGATCACCTCCACCTCAGATACCCAATGCTTGATGATTGGGTGAACAAGAGAGTGAGAACGCCTCAGCAGTATGTTCAGAGTAAGTACTCAATCTCAGTGTACACATTGATCGGATGTTTATTCTGTGTTACTCCCAAGGTTCTACAATGGTTCCGTGAGGAACATTATCTATAACTCTGTGCAGGTAGCCGTAATAATATCCCCTGACCGAAATGAAGCTATGGGTTGCTGATCTTGAAATTCGATCAAAGTCAATCAACCTCCAAGAATACGTTTTTCCACTGAATGGTGAGGGAAGGTTTGGGAGGCCACCTTGGTCTGGGCCGAGCACCGAAAGCATATTTGCCCAACGAAGATCATCGTGATATATTCGTAGGTTTGCAAAATCGCAACAGATGTCGAAAAGATCAGATCTAAATAGTAGATGTTCAAGCCATTGGCAATGCCGGAGGATCGAATGAAACATACTCGGCACCATCTGGTAGTGGGTCTCCGAGCACCAGTCGATCACCAATTTTCTCAAGAAGAAGGATGGACATCGGGCCAAAATCAAAGTAGTCTAGTAGCCTTTGCGGAGAACCAGGTATGTCAGTAATTGGATGAAGGAAAAGGACTCGGTTCAACACACCGCGCCTGAAAGAAGCCATAGCATCGTGGGATAGCAGATCCCTGCAAACAGAGCATAGTCTCGTATGCAGCTGCCTCCTTCGTCAAATCAGGAGAATGAAGACCGCGAGCAAGCTTCACAACCAAGGGGGGAAGCTGATATTTGGAGTCATTGCCATACGGAATCGAGCATTCGCAATCAAAGATTATTCCTGCTCGGCCTTCTGAGAGGATCTTTCCCAACGAGACGTGCAGTGCGAGGTTTCCAGCAGGCGGGAGTTTGAAAAGAGGATCGGGGTAGGATATGGAGAACGTGAGATTGTCGGCTATTGCGTGGATATCGTTAAGCGTGTCTGGAGGCGGAGGTTTACTGCGCTGGAGTACGACTGGAATAGTGGGTCCTTTCCATTTCTCGCCGATCTCCCCGGAGACAAGGACGATAGAGGAGACTGCGTTCAGCGGCTGGGCGTAATTTATTACGTGAGGCTTGGACATAGAATATGGATAACGGATGCCAAACGGATGGATACGCACCAGATATTCTGCCATACTAGCAGAAAGTGTTCCCAAGAGCCCAAGAGAGCTCAAGAGAAGGTTTCGAACAAAACGGTTACGCCACAACTCACACGTACGTGTCTGCAGAGGGATGTGGGCGCCCGTCCGGAAGGATAGAAGCCCTTCTCCCTTGATCAAGTTTAAGGATCACTTCGTCCTAACACTTCCAATGTGGTGTAGTGGCTAACATTGCTGTCTTTCACACTTAAGTACCTTTTCCTTGCACAGCAGCCCGGGGTTCGATTCCCCGCATTGGAACTAGTACCCTCCAGGAGTCTCTAATTTTTTGCTTATTTTCTCGAAACATCATTGCATCCAGTTACTTTCATTCGACTCGATACCTACCTATGAGTTCACAGTTGTAGTTAATAATATATACAACACACGCTGGTCGGGGAACCGTCATTTTTGGATTCCGCTAGTGCGAATTTTCAGGTACGCATGCTTTATTCCTCGATATTACTTTCGCTTATCTGGAGCGTGCTCTCATGCTACAAGGACAGAAGGCTGAGTGAGATCTAAGATGTAGTTTGTCGTGCCAAGCGCCTAAACAAGCGCGCGAATTTCGTTACCTCGATCATGATTTCGGACTTTTTCGGTTCATTCTCTTTCCCTTTCTCTTCCTTCATCTATTTCAACTTTTTCCTTTGCTTCATATCTCCCAGAATCTCCACCATCTAATATCGACATCCTGGTCTTCATCTCACCGGTACCCCACCGCGCCGCGCATAATGTCCAGCTTCTTTTTCGGCTCGTATAAAAAAGACAAAGAGAGCCACAGTGCAAGCACACCAGATACACCGAATACCGCAGGGACAACGACGACGTCGTCATCCACGAAATCCCCTAGCTCAGTCCGCAGTGCTTCTCCAAAGCCCAGCACGACGAAAATTCAGACGACGCCCGCGCCTGGGACGAAGGTTGGCCCGATTTACGAGTATGACGAGAAGCAACTGGAGTTGATGAGGCTGGTTACAGAGGTGAGTCAATTGCAAAACTCGTGTTTCATCGAGATTGAAAACCTACTCACCGTTCTGCAGTACGCGCACTCGATATCCCTTCCTCCTTCCCATCCCTACGCCAAATGGGAACAACGCTGGCTTCGGAAGGCGGATACCATTCCTCGCTACTCGCGCGCCTCCAAATGGATTCTGAACGACGCGAAGAAACGGATGAAAGGAACGATGGAATGGCGGCGGGAGTTTCAGCCCGAGTTAATTGTGCCGGAGGAGGTGAAAATTGAGGATGAGTCAGGGAAGATGTGAGTCATGGATGGGCTTGGTACGCTGAGCCCTAGTTACTGATTTGTTCGTGTTTTCTTCACTAGCTTGATCAACGGCTTCGACAAAGATGGCCGACCAATAATCTACATGCGTCCCGGGAGGCAGAACACGGAGACTAGTCCCAGACAGCTGCGGCATCTCGTTTGGTGTCTGTACGTCTTTCATGTTTTGTATTTCGGATACGCGAGTTCTGACTTTTGTGCCCCGAACAGAGAGCGCGCAAAAGACCTCATGCCTCCCGGACAGGAATCTCTCGTGATTATCGTCGATTACAAGACCACTACACTTCGGACCAATCCGTCCGTGTCGGTGGCAAGCAAAGTGCGTTATTCTGTTGACTATCTGTTCTGACACGCGTTTAATTCAATTTTTATCCAACTCACCCGTCATTTGCCCGTCCTCACCCGCCATGGAAATAGGTATTGACAATTCTACAACATCACTACGTCGAAACACTTGGCCGAGCGATCGTCACCAATCTTCCTCTCCTCCTAAGCTTTTTCTACAAAGGCATTTCTCCGTTCTTAGACCCCGTAACAAGAGACAAGGTAACGTCGCCTTCCTGTTCTCCTCACTCGTTCTCGAGCAATGGAAAACTCACTTATATCTTCCGTCCCAGATGCGGTTCAACCCGGACTTACTTGAGCTGATACCGGCGTCACAGTTAGAAGCCGAGTTCGGTGGGGAATACGAGTACGAATTTGATCATGAGAGTTACTGGAACCAACTCATACAGTGAGTGGTATTACTGCTATGGTGCTATCACCGGCTTACGTGACGGTCTACCAGGACTTGTGGTATTGCGCCAGACGGTACACGTACGAACGAGATCGTTCCCGAACTCGACGCTCCCTCTTCAGAATCTTCTTCCCCGGCCCATGCGCATGTCGCATCCGACGCCACTGCCACTGTAGGAAGCGTCGAGCACGCACACACAAATGAAACCGAGGATCTCGAGGAAGACGATTCACTCAGCCCTACGCCAGCTACGGTAGTTGGATCGCCTGCTCCGCAGATACCGAGTGCCGATGCCGATGCTTGGGAGAAGAAGGTCGAGGGGAGGGTGATGGAGATGGAGAGCGTGGCTCCGGTAGTGAGTGCCTGAAGAAAAGTTGTTAATACGTAATGTAAGTATATAGATATCTTTTAGTTGGTTCGTTTGTCATCGGCCCTGCTGCGTGATCGAGGGGGGGAGCTGTAACTTGAGCGCAGGCGGTCGTTTATGGCCGTTTGTGCCATGTATCTATCTATCTAGTTAGTTAGATGTGCTTTACCACAGTGTTTTATTTGTGGTATAAAATACTAGTCGCCGAATAAAAACAAATAGGTAAAACTCAACACGTTTGGCAGTTGACTCCCTGGCTGGGAGTCGAACCCAGCTTTCGCGCGTAAAGGCTCTTGAAACCGCAATGACAGGCGCGTGTACTAACCGATATACTACCAGGGACATATCCTTGATGGATTTCTTTGTGCACAAGTACTTCCCAACTTACTGAGCTGTATTTATCTTCTTTACAGTGGTTAAAGCTCGTGCCTTAGTCCTTCTGGATATAGATGAATATCACTTTGTAAACTTGTAAACTCATAGACGTGACTTACCACATTATAATCTGTTAATATACTACTACTACTAGCCTTTGGGCGATGTACGCTACAAGGCGCTCAAGCAGCAAGCTCAAGGATGATGGATGGGCCTTGGATGGCCCATAGGGGGTAGAAATTAATGGAACAAAAAAAATTGAAGCTAGTAAAACAGGCACATATCTATCCCCTGCCAGGAGTCGAACCTAGCTTTCACCCAAAGCCATCTTGGGCCATGACAACCGCACGGAGTTACCAATATACCACTAGGGATATACTTGAGAAGGGAGTATACATAAGTAGTAGAAGTAGAAGTGAAGTAACTAAGTAAAAGTCAGTTGAACTTAGTAAAAGTGGGTCACGTGTGCTTCTGGGGCTTGGCGCTTTTGAGCTTCGCCGCCGCCCCTCCCGCCCTCATTGTTCTACATATCATGTAGGGGAAAGAAATGTGATCAACGCGTCCAAATAGCTATTGTTTAATGTATATTCTGATATCATTGAAATAAAACTCTGGAGGATTATAGGTTATCAGTATGTTGTCTTTGACGCTATCTGCCATCTACTTACTATCAACTAACTTTAGATTTACTACAGGTATGCTCTCCGGCACTTCTTCACCTCTACCCTCACTTGTGTCCTTTGAATGCACCACTTGAGTGTGATAATCTAGATAAGGTCAGAGCCTGGTACCTTCAACAAGTCCTTTCTCAAGAACATGTTGCTTTGGGCGCACCTAATTCTGTGGTTCATCCAACACCAACTAGTACCTCTTCTTACACTTCCACTCCCAGCTCCTCTAGCCTTGGTAGACCATCCATTCCTCCTAGCCCACCCATCACCGGCCTGCCTAAAGCATCAGTGAAGGTTGAAACTGATGATTCAGATATAGAATGTCTTGGTTCTCTCGCGCCTAGCTTACCTGTGAAAGTGAAAATGAATGCACCTGGGCCAGCCGCCAGGCGCAAGCGTAAGCATGACGCACCAAAGCCAACGACCGACTCCTCTGATAATGAGGTTCAAATTGTGCAGGTGCAACCGAAACCAAAGAAGGCAAAAAGTTCCAAGCAATCTAATCGTACCAAAATTACGCATCAGACTTACTGTGATCGTGTTGTTGAGCTTGATGCTCCGCTTCCATGCTGGCCGGTTGACCGAGAGGGGGCGGTAGCATATATTATCGACATAAACCCAGTTCCAGATGCAGAATTTCCGACTGATAACATGATAAAGATCGCACTATGCATTCATAAATCTTGCAAGTGGTACGTTCATTGGTGATCTTCTGTCCCAGATATCAGTCTTAATTTGGCTCTATGCAATGGTATAGGACCAGGACTCATGGGGTAAAGGCACGTTTGGGAACACCAGTAATATGTATGAAGCTCGACAGCCTTACACATTGGCGATTCATGCTGTGTAGGAACTGCCGCCGCTGCTTCCACCACTGCTAGAAATGGTACAGAACTACTTACTTGATCTTTTCAGAACCCTTATATTTATCTATCCTTTAACTCATCTCCAGGTATTGCTGCTACTGCCACTACTACCACTACCAACGGAACGACGACTGATTCCACCACTACTGCCAACACAACTGCTACCGATGGAACTTGTACTAACAGGACCGCCGCTGCAGGAGCCACAGGCAATGCTGCTGCTGCAGGGACCGCTGGCGGCGGGAACATAGCCAAGGCTAACTTCAAAGCCGTGAGTCTCCTACATTACTTATAGCCCATCAGAACCCCTCCTTCATAACCCGTACCATGCTACTAACCTACTCCCTCTAGAGCTCTGCTACTCGATAGTGTACCCATACGCCCTGGGGCGGCACCCCTTCACAACCTCAAAATTCGTAGAGAGAGAGCTTTAGTTGTCGTGAGACGGGGTACAGTTTACACGTTTTCCGAAAATAAACTGGTCCAACTTCTCCTTCATCGTGTCTTCTATAACCTTCCTCCTCACCGTCGCTTTTGTCACTGTTCGTGGTAAAGTGCCCAAAGGTACGACAAATATCATTTCCGGCAAAAGCGATACGTTCGTGGGGATAGCGAGCGGTGTGGAAAGGCAAATCCGGCGGTAGATTTCGGTTTTCAGTTCAGACTCATTGAGAGCAGGGTTGACGCTGCAAGCCTCCACAACCAATACTGGTGATGGACGACCATTACCCACTACCACACAATCTGAGATGATGTCACCACACAGATTTCGAGCATTATCTTCAATGGCTCTAGGGAGACAAATATGAAAAGCTCTGACGGTATTAAATTGATGAACCTACTTGGTATCACACAAACTGCAATTGTGCATAACAAACCAATCATCATTGCGACCGCAAAAGACGTAGCTTCCGGGTTCCACTTCACGGAAAAGGTCATTGGTTGATAGTTACCTAGGGATCTCAGGAATTAGTACAAGTCGAATTCAATATATCAGCAGTAAACTGTACGAGACACTAACCGTCAGATGATCTAAATGAAACATCTGGGCATTCGGGTTGCTTCTGGGGGAACAACTAGTTCCAGTAGATCGGAATCGTTTGAGATAGGAATGAACTTGATGAAAGAGGGACCTGGGAACCGTTTAAGGTAATTTTGGCGAGATTTCCGAAAGTCCCTCTGATATGAGAAGTCCACCGCATTCAGTTGATCCATAGGTATTCTATATAAAATTAATCAAGTTTCGAAGGAAGAGTGAAGAAAGCTTACCACAAGATTGATACCATTTTTCCAAGCCCATTCTTCCTCGTCACCCGCTAAGCCACCTCCTGTGTACATAATTGCATCCACTGAGGAGAGGGCACGCAAAGTCTCTGGGTCCGTACGTGAGGCACGAAGGTGTTCTCGAAGAAAATGCGGATACGAGAAGAGCCGCCTCGTTCTTGCATCTGTTAATGATATCTACCAATTCGGAGGTGGAGGGTTGGCCAGATTTATATTGGACCATGCAGGATGTGTGGTAGATTGCTCTGATTAGACCTGCAACAATGGAATTAAAGTCAATACATTTTCAAGAAAATGAAGAGAAGAACTTGGAAACGTGCCTATAAATTGAGCCATATAACCGGTGCTCCCTCTGCCGACAGTGTCATTTTTGTTAGTTGAGAAATGCTATGATGCTAGTAAGAGCCTTACCGCCAGCTTCCGATATCTACCTTTCCAGAATCCGTGAGAGCTTTGGTTATTTTTACGAACATTACAATCCAGCCAGGTGTAGTTGAAGGGAACAATCTTGGACTTTCCAGAGGTGGTCCCACTGGTCTGGTAAATGATTGCGATGTCAGATCCTGTGACATGAGGTAGATCGGGGAGTGGATAGCTATTCGGATGGACAACAGTGACAGAAGTAAAGCAGGGGATCTGAGGTATATGACGGACGGTATCGTTATATACCGGCTCATAAATAAAAGCACGGGTATTGGCCTGTTCAAGCGACCTTGGATGACACTGTAGTCGGCATTTGGAAATATATTGATGAGCAGGGGAATGTATCCAGCTCGGGAAATTGCGTATAAATGTACGATGTCGAGATACTTGTAGCCTCCGAGACTGGAAGCAGTGCATTACAGAGTCAGCTCAACAGTTTGGTAATGCACTGCATCAAACTTACCATAAAGCAATCACAGACCTCTGAGGTATACCACTACTTTCTTTCAAAACATGAAACCAGTATCGAGCAAGGAGCTCAATATCAAGAAGGAGTTGGCGGAAAGTGATGTCCGTCCAATGATCAATCTCGTCGGTCTCGGGGTTGACTTGGGGAATCTTGAATGCAGCCCTAGAGGGGAAACGAGAGGTCGCATCTTCGATGTTGGTTAGGTGGGTCAGAGTGGAGACATGATAAAGTGATACTTTCGCCACCCAAATGATGGGCTTATAAACCACCAGGTCTGCGTCTTGATTTCAGTAACGAAGAGTGTCACTCTGTGATTCGTCTTTGTTTTCGCTCTAAAGCCTTCTAAAGCGAAGAGCGACTCTAGTGTGACACTCTACTGTCATATTACTGTGTCCTGCGGTA